ATCACAATATTATTATATATTGACATGTGTGTGCGAGTGCGTGCGAGAGCTACAATTGACCCGCATGGACGCCACACACACTAATAATCATTTACGACTAACACATAGATCTCGGGTGGCGACGATGAGATTAGAAATTGCCTAAATGATTCTCCTTAAATCAATGCCATTGCGAGGCCCCTTAATGTGACTGTAGTTGAAAGTCACCAATTATGACTTTCACACATTGTGTTGATTAGTCATCTGTAGATTCTGATAAAGTGATTTCATAAGTACATTAATTCCAACTTGGGAAGTGTATATTTCACACTAAATAACATATATTATTATTTTTATTAATTTTTCACGATTCAGCATTTGGCTGTACTTTTATTGATATGCAATGTCAGCCAGAATGTAAAAGAGGATTTAAATCAATATTTATATTTAAATGTAAATTTAGTGGTAAAAGTATTTCAATTATTACGAAAAAGAATTATTAGAAAATAACTATACTTACCAATTAATAAAGCTGTAATTAGTGGAAGTTTGTTTATCGGTATTTAATGAACGGAAATAAAATATAATATGTATGAGTCTGTTAATTTGTATATAGAATTTATGACTAATGTACCTACAACTATTATATATGATTGAATTATTTAAAAATACTAAGGTAGCTACCAAATACTATGTTGATTGATTTAGATATTAAAATACTTTACAATTCTGAATATAACTAAAGCTCAACAATTTAAAATAATATAGGATTTGGATACGCACAATATAATATAATGTATAAGCCAGAAGAGCCCCAGAGATACCATACTTCTGGTTTAAACCATTATATAGTGGTATTAGCTTAAAAACATCTGATAACAAAAATATTTTTATTTTTATTTCACCATTAATAGTTAATACAAATAATGGAACAATTCCAGTTTAGCGCGCACTCGAATTTTTCGATTTTTTTTTTCGGAAACCTATGTACCTATTTCGACGAGTTTAAAACGATGGTGTAAAAATTAGTTTGCGAAAATGATTATTTTGGAAGTTACAGCCTTCCAAAGTTTGCGATTTTACGTTTATACGCATGCGCGCAACACTTCGAGTAAATATGAAAAAAAATCGAAAACCGTTACAAAGGTGAAAACACTAATAAATTAAATTGCACTAGGTCTTGCTGAGAATATCTGTACTCTCAAAACAAAATCTGTTGCAACTGGACTGCTTACGTCTTGTCTACATTATAATATAGAGAAATATGTTGTATCTCCCACTCCAAAAATAATTGTATTTTCAAAATACTGCAAATTCAATCAGTTCATTTTATAGGGGTTCTCAAGTATTAATTAAATTTAATCTTACATAGGTACTATCTTATAAGTTATAGTAATGAATTCCATCATTGATTAGATTTTAAGCTCCATTATGTTACTACAAATGTGACACAAATGTATTACTAAGATTTATTAGATAATAAAATATTGGTAATAACTAATATTGTAGATTTTCTAACGGTAGACACTTTTTTTTTTTTTTTTCAGTTTTCAACCGACGGCGCCGCGGGGACAGCTTTCGCATTCTTCCGCGACGCCGCCATCGTTTATTTGGATAAAAAACAAATAATAACTATACATACGTGGGGGGTAGACGGGACAGTTCCCCGACTTACCCCCCCTCTAGAAAAAACATTACATTAACAATTTACATTGACAATTTTATTTACGGAGTTGGTGTGGCATGTTCGTTGTTGTTTTGGCGGGCCGACCGGAGTCCGCCGCCCTTGAGATCCCGTGCGTGCCCGTCTTGGCGAGCCGACCGGAGTCCGCCGCTCTGGAGTCTCGTACGTCCTTACGATGCCGTGATCGTCGTCCCTCCCGTTACGGTAGACACTTAAAATTAGAGTTCGCCAACTATATATATAAGTGGTGGCGCATTTAGAGGAGGGTGAAAGTGGAAAATGCCCCAAGCTGCAAATGTTTGGGGGTGGCAAATAGCTTTTGCTTATGAAGTGTTCACGATTTTTTAAATTTTTAGACCTTTTTCTGTATTATAATATTTATATTATTATGTAATAAATTAAAATAGGTACATGCCTACACATTTTGTATCTAAAAATATATTGTGAGCATCACAAAAAATAAATTATACTATACATAGGTAATTGGTATATTACCTAATATCATTTATATCAGCGGTCGCTAACTGGTGGTCCACAGACAAATTTGAACATTATATTTATTTGTAATGTTGTGAGTTTATAATCGTAACATACAAAAGTAGTTTATAAAGTCGCTGTATGTAATCAATAATAATTAAACTAACTTAAATAATTTTGTTATTAATAATAAAACCCTTTATTGATATTTTATAAAATATGCGTTAATTTTATTTTTTTTATAACTTGGTATTTAAGACATGAGTGAAAACTAAACAATGTATCTACATATTATAGATTTAAATAAATATTAATTAATAAAAAACTGTGTTTATGTATTTTTTAGATTTTTAGGTTACAGTATGAATTATTTATGAGAATCTTTGTTTTAAATTTTCAATCCTTAGTTATAATAACTGAACATTTTATAATTTTTTAATTACAGTGATTGATAATTTTCGATATTTTGATAAATTTTGTGATGACAGACACAAAAAAAAATAAATTTTGTTTTTTGTTTTTAAGAATTAGAGCTAAGCCTACCAAAGCTATGGCGTCGTCGTCTAGGACTGACATATTGAATGTGAATTAAAAGAAATAATGTTAAAGAATCTGATTGAAAAAACGGCGAAAAAATATAAATATTTTGAACATTCGACGACCCGCAGCTGAGGACTATTTTGGCCGGAAAGCGTGTGACTGCGCAGTCCTGCGTATCCGGCAAATCGTGGTGTGTATGTCGTCATCGGAAATCGGTAAAAACTGTGCAGGTTAAACTGTGCAGTCCGACCTCTCCGGCAAACCGGAACGTGTATGGCTAACTATTGCACTAAAAGTGATCAACAAGAGACGCGTTTCCACTAATTTTGTGGAAAAGTTCTTACCCCGTGAACTATAGACGTGATAATCAAGCTCAGACCAGTGGCGTGGCGTGGGTGTTAAAAAGATGTAAGCAGTGAAATTTTTTTTTCAAAAGTGATTAGAATTAAATGTAACAATTTGAAAATATTTAAAACAAAGTATGATTTATCGATTTATGTCAAGAATAAAATCAAATACCAATTACATAATACCACTGTGGTAACATTATAAGGAAAATACAAGGGTATTTTAAAAAAGTCAATATTTTTTAATATAAATAAAAATATATTAAGTTCAATAAATAATAAATATGTCATAGTATATTATTGTAACTTGTCAAAATATCATAATTATATAAATATATATTTATTACTGAAAAGAGGCACTAATTTTATGTTTGCTCACATAATATAGGTACATAATATGTATATCATATGTGGCGCCGAAGTCCAAAATTTTACCTATGACATTAGACACCTCCACATAAAATTTTGACACCCGCATATTTCTTATAATTACCTTACCATACACCATGTATAGTTTTTATATTGTCTATTAAGCAAATTTTCATAAAATAACTATAGAATGACAAAGGTGACCCCCCCTACCTACCAAAATCATAATATATAATATCACATATTATAAATATATATTTTGACGCCACTGTGTGTATGTATTTATATATTTATATACATATGTTCCTATATAAATACATTGTCCCTTAATATGGACTATACTGTATATTATACAGCATTATCTTATCCAAGTAGAAAATAATATCCATTTTATTATGTACTGGAAAATCCCTGTGTAGTACTTTTTATTAGTATTGTGTATTTATTTGAGTGAATAAAGTACGTATGGCCCGTTGACAGTCACCAAACGTGGAAGTGTGTTCAAATAGTATAATCTGGAGTACATTTTTAAATCCAATAAAATTATCAAAATGATGGGGTTAAATTTGTTATATACTTATCTTCATTTTAAAGTTATAATAACTAATTATTGCAAATTGCATTAATTAAACTTCAATTTATTTTTTTTTTAAATATACCAATAAATTGTAAATACTGAATGGATTGATACAGTTAATACATTTAAAAAACAAGAAGTTGTCACACAACAAAATTAAACCTTAAGCAACTAAAAAACTATGAATAATTTGAAATTGAAAGGTTAGGAATAAAAATAAATTTAAAGCACTTATTTTTTTAATACAAGAAAAAACCAAAATTAAAAACATTCATTGCCATTTAAATAATTTTGATAATGTAAAAGAAAAATATCTTGTTGAAATAATACTGTTAAATTTGTATTGCAATCCAGACATAAAATTGAACGAGTCAGTGCAGGCCATATATGTTTAATCATATATTTAATAAAACAATATAAAAATAATTTTGTAAATCGTATGACTAACTAGATAAAGTATGATAAGTCATATGTATACAATTTAATACAATAAGAATATGTACATAAATATAGAATTATAGAATTCAAATTTAATAAAATTGTAAAGAAACTGTCTATTGCAGGTAGTGAATAGTGATCTGCCATTTAGTTACATAATACCTATTAAAAGTTTAGTTTATCTTCAATAAACAAAAAACAGAAGTGTTAGTACATAATAATTATTGAATATACCTATTACCTACTAAAATACTTGTCCCAAAAAATAATTATTATTTAATATTTACAAAGTATTTAAAAAACTATACGTAATAAGTAACAACGAATATGAAGTTAAAAGTATTAAAATATGAATATTATATTATTATGATCATTGTTCAATAAATGATAAAAACCTAACTTCACCGATTAAAAGCTAACTAAACATGGTTTTATTTTATAGAAGGCAAAATTTCTCAATATTGGTTTGAAACCGATTTTTTGATTTTTGATTTATTCGCTGGTGAACGCCGCGGGAATTGGGATTTTTCCTAACTTTTGTAGGTTGGCATGAGCATTTTTTTTTTTGTTCTTATCAAGTTCACTGTTATCAATTGTTATCAAAATCGGGAAATCTGTACCCGTCCCGTTTAAAATATGAAGAATTTTTAATTGCTATTGCATTTTCATTCCACTTAAGTTGCAAATTATCTTTGACAATGTCCGTGAAATCATTTTTCGATATGCTAATCAATTCCACGGTACCTTTATAATATTCATAAATATATTACAAATAATTATAATTTGCACCTTCTGAATATCATACTTGTGTTATAACTTATAACATATTATTATAATGGTCAACGGACAACACATTTCTATTGAGCATTTTTTTTTTTTATGTACATAGTTACAAAGTTACAAGTTTACAACATAGAGGAATTTTTAGAACCAATAAAATTGTTTAGTATCCTCATAAAAAAAATGTTTACTTAATGATTGAACAGAATTGGTTCTAAGTGTGTTAAACAAAACAGCACTTTCGCCAAAAGAATGTTTTTCCTTCAATTTGCAACGTTCAGTGTTATCCATAAGTTTAGTAACAGAGTTTTGTACATCTTCAGTAATCACCCTAAACTTTTCGTCAACCAAGACAGTCGATAGTTCGTCCAATATTTGTTTCCGTTGTTTAAGAGACTTTCTGTATTTGCGCATTATTTTTCTGAAACTTATTTCGTTCATGGGACGGGTACAGATTTCCCCGTTGACCATTATAATAATATGTTATAACACAAGTATGATATTCAGAAGCTGCAAATTATAATTATTTGTAATATATTTATGAATATTATAAAGGTACCGTGGAATTGATAAGCATATCGAAAAACGATTTCACGGACATTGTCAAAGATAATTTGCAACTTAAGTGGAATGAAAATGCAATAGCAATTAAAAATTCTTCATATTTTAAGCACCTGAGTTTGATGGAATAATCATCTAATATCACACAAAAAATTCAAAATAATCTGTTTACTGTTATATTTCTTATCATACTTTAGCACATGTTCAAATATGATAAAATATTTTACACAAGGTGCATTTAGGTTTTTATTAGTAGTACAGTTAAAATATATTAGACTAGGTACGTTATGTTATTTGGTATTAGCAAGACTTAAACAGTTAACCAATATAAACTATATTAAAATAAACGTCGATATAATATATTTTATTCAAAAAATTTAAAAACTTAAAAATCTATAAAAAGCTTTAAAAATAAAAATATCTCGAAATGAATAATTATAACGATGCCCCTTCCACCAGTTCTACCTGCGATACCGACACAAACAACGCTATAATAAAATATCTTAGAATGTTATCCAGTAATAAATTAAAATATATTATAACACAAATATTGGTTAGGTTCAGGACCGGCTCAAGCGAAAATAGTGAACTAGGCGAAATCAAATTTTGCCGCCCCTAATAATATAATATTATCAGTATTTTGAAAATGCCGCCTTCTTACTAAAGTGATACTTATGTGCCGCCCTAGGCGTGGGCCTATGTCGCCTACCCCTTGAGCCGGGCCTGGAACTTAGGTTACAAGAACACAAGAGAATTAAAAGGACAGTTAGGTACTAGTCGCGTTGACTCGTTTGTATTTTGTTTAGATAATCTGATCCAAAAATTTAAACTCTGAAGTATATCAATATTTATATTATAATGGATACTGTCTGTATAATAGTAATAGAATTGGCATCGGGCATCAAGCGGTGGGATGTCAACCAACAACCCATTAAATAATCCTACAAATTACAACAAATACATTTTATCACGACTTAAACTAGACGGTTATTTTTTTAATAATTTAAATATGTGTTCATTGCTATTGTCAATTTAGATTTAATTTGAGAAAAAAATATCAATTAATCTCAAATTATTATACTATTATACATTTTACTACATTTATAACGAATACTATTTAAATTTAAAGAAACATATATAGTGTTTTATTTTTTTTGACATTGCTGACTAGCAGATAAAAAGATGCAAACACTATTTTCATCTCAGCCAATTGAGAAGTCCTTGGGTAAATAACTATAGGAGGTTAAAGTATCATTGTTCTTAAGACTTCAAACTACATTGTTATTAGCTAGTTTTTACTGTGGACAATATTCCACACCATTATTTTTAACTTGCAATTCACTATGTCATGAGAGAAGCTCAAAAATAAATTATAAAATGAACTTCGTTTTTTTGACACTCCATTCGGTTTGTGTGGCGGCTACGGTTGGTACGCGTTTTTTATGTGAGGCAGATAGATCGTCGCAAAGAACTCTGGTGCCTGGTGGTCACCCATCAGCCTGCTCGACTTCTGCACACATTATATTAGTGACTGCGTCCAATCACCGCGATTCACCAATCACCAGGTCACCATTCAATACCATCCACGTTAAATTGTATATTATTATTATATGTTTATATTATATTTACAGTTTAAATTCTTGCAAATGTATTATATAATTTGACGTATAAACAAATTGTATACAATATTACAATCCTTAATAATATAGCAATAGTACTGAGTAGTAAAATATATAATGGTTTATACAGATTAGTGTAAATTTAATAATTTGTTGATCGTTGCCACGTCATCGATAAAATCAAATATTAAAACTCCTTGACCGTCATATTTAAAAGGTGATTTTGAAAGGCTTTAATATAGATACTTGTATATTTTAGAAAATTAAGGTTTTGGAAATATAGTTAAAATATATTAGACTAGGTACGTTATGTTATTTGGTATTAGCAAGACTTAAACAGTTAACCAAACTATTAATTAATCATAGAAATAATAAACTAGGTATAGGATCAATGGATCATAGTCAAATACAATTTTAATGTAAACATTCAAATTAATAATTATGTATATTCTTATAATGTATCTACTTTACAGAGTATGACAGTATATATATGAAAAAAAAAGAAAATTAAATATGTCCATTTATGTTCAATTATTACCTAATAATCGTTAGGGATCAAATGTGTACCGGTTATTAGGTATTTTTTCATTGCTCAACCTTTTTAAAATATATATAGATCTATTAGAAATTTGATAAAGGTATACAAATAGTATGTACCTACCCATTATAATAATTAAAAAATATAAAATGTATCAAAAAAGGATAATGAAAGGATTGCTGAATCAAAAAACTTGAAAATTTACCCATAGACCATAAGTCATTTCATATTAGAAGTTCAAAAGTAATAAACATATAAAAATTAAAGGCACACATATTTTTATGAGCATATTAAATTCAAATTTTGACGAAATCCATCATAATCGCGAACATTATCAAATTATTTTGTATTTAAAAATGTATATAATTTTCAATTTTTATAGCTAAGAACTACAAGTCCCCCCCAAGCCCCCCCCATTTCTGCCTATGCTCATATACATTATAAACATATAATATAACGAGCCCATGGCTGATGGGTCTTTCGCTGATAAATTATTTAACTAAAAGCTGTTTTTGAATAAATCTAGCTTATCAAATCTATCCTAAGTATACCTATAATTGTATAATTAATTTTAATTAATGCAATCTAAACTACGACCTGTAGTCACATCTTAATTGGTTGACGGAATATCACTTCACGCTTGAAACTTAGCACTCTAAATACTGTATGTTGGCAGCTATTTTAAGACGAGGAAAAATAATTCAATTAATTGAAAACATTACTTTGCTTTACTTTAATTCAAACACTATATTATATATAAATACCAAAATTAAAAAAAGTTAAATGCTTCTTGGAAACAATTTCACTGTCCAAATATCACAATATAAATAAACTAATTCTATTCGATTAAACAGTGTATAGGCACAATCGTCGTCAACAAATATCAATACTAGCCAACACAGCATAATATCAATGTTCAATGCGACATAGTGTTTACTGTTTATACGTCATGATAATATTATAATAATAATAATGGGGGACGGAGTGGCCGAGCGGATTAAGGAGTCGGTTGTGACGCACACTGGCGCCGGTTCGATGCCGGCCGCGGGTGGCATTTTTCTTCGGGCAAGTCACGGTGTCCGGAGAAAAGTGCCACCATCCCCCACACGGGCATGGCAGATACCTACGGCTGCCCACTAAAAAATCTGCCAAAAGCAAAAAAACACACGTGTTTAAAACTTACAGTACCCTCCCCCACAGTAAAAACCAATCAATGGCCTAATAGTTGCCGCGGGTTAATTAATAATAAAAAAAAAATAATAATAATAATAATAGGTAGGTATATAACGTCATTGAAGATACTTCAGGTATTACTTGTAGGTATATACAATAGTTTATTGTGTGGCAAGGGCTGGAAGTGATCAATTTCAGCGACAAGTCTACAAAGGTAATGCACTATGCAGGGATATTCTATGCAACAACCAGACTATTCTACGAAAACAATTTCATGAAAGAAAATTGTTTGCATGCAGGGAGGTTATAATATGAATATAAGATGTTGCCCACGGTGTAAATAACCTAAAGTTTATGTTTTGTAAGGACCGTGGTATAAAGTTTTCAGTGTTGCCCCAATTACTTATTCGAGAGGGGGTAACATTTATTTTACCCCCAATGATTTTTTGACATCATACAGCATACATTTTATACATACATTTATCTAGTTAACTAGTTAAGTCTCAAAACAAATTAATGTGACTTTCTGGTAAGGTTTTCTTTTAACTTTTCTTTGGTAGACAGTCGAAAATTTTTTAATTTTCTCAATTTTAAATGAATTTTGTTTAAGTTTCAACTTTAGACCCATATTGAAAATAATATATTGTGGATCTGTGTTCAACTTGACCGAGAGAGGAAATTATTTATCGATGATAATTAAAAATAAAAATGTTTAATGCTCAAAAAGAGTCTATATATTTTGAATATCTTGTAGGAAATATCTTCCAGAAAAATTCTTATATATTATATAACATTTTTGTTAAAATATAAAGTTTTTACGGTTATTCATTTTTGAGTTACAACAGAAAAACACAATCGATTTTGTCGATAACTGGTTTTGTGTAAAAATTACTTTAATATTAATTGTTAATTTTATACGAATTGCCTATACAGAGGAGCCTATGCTTTTACATGTAAAATTTAAGGGGGAGGAGCTCCAGAACCTACATAATCATCCTACTTACGTATTAATTATTTTCCACTCATCCCAGTCACATAATATTATATACAACACATCATTTCTTCAGTTTCAATGTTTTAGGTTCAACAACCTCGCTTTCCTCTATAACTGCTGTGAAGAACTCGTTGTCGGTACTAATTGATTTCTCGTATTCCGGCACCTGGTAATGATATGCAAGTACCCTCAATGAAGTCCCTGTTACTATTGGTTCGCTTATACTGGCCGTGATCGTTTCGTTTGCTATGGCCACATCCGCGGGCATTTCGATATTGCCTTCTTTGATCCAGGGATGTTGCAAAGCGGTCTTGATTTTTGTGCGCTTCAGAAAATTAGGCTCCAAGAACGTGTCAGTCAAATCTCTCAGCGTTCCACTTCGACCCAACGACGTTCGAAATGCAAAATGTTTATCCTCCATCTGCAGATTAGGGTATAACTTCATAAAAATTAAAACACATAATTCAGCCATACAAAGTCGATATAATATTAATTAAACGCACTTTTTATTCAACAGTAATATCATTATATTGTATTCTAATTTAATGGCATGAATTAGAATATTTTTTATTATAGATTTAGTCAAAAACCCCAGATTTAAATAATATATTGATTTACCGTGCATATGCTGATTAGGTTGAAAGGGCTTTTCTGTGTGCTATAATGTGTAGGCTACTATAGGGTATGACGTGTTATTACAAAAATATACATTTCTATAGCCCAGGCCCTATTATTTGTAAAATTTCGGACTGCACGTTTCATTTTATTCTCGCTACCATCTTAGCAAAAGGAATGTATTACATAATACATATTACATATATTTAATATATAATATATATTATATACCATATGTATACAATAATTTAACAATGCAATTTAATAAAACAACAAAATACTTATCTTTTAATAAAATCATAAAAATTAAATAGCATAATATAATAATAAAAACCTTAACTTAACTTTTTAATAATTAAAATCATAACAATGCATATTACTTTCTTGATTTTTCATCAAGTAAGTATAGTAATTGAAATGAAAAAAGTCTGAACTTTGAAAACTTCAAGAATTTGTGTTAAATAGGAAAATAATAAAAATGTAACTCAGTAATGATGAATAGGTGGGTAATTTAGCTAGCTTTAATATAAAATATTAATAAGAGAGATTTTATATCACACCCAAGCGGTATACCCAATTTGAATCGATAAAAACATTCGCGTGAACAGTCCCAAAATTTCTATTTTTTAACTTTTATCCTAAACTATGATACCTAGCTAGAAATTTGGTTGATAACTCATTAAAAAGGGATTATCAGGAAGACACTAAATATGGAATTAATTTTTTTTTTTTAATTATTTAATTTTTCACAGATAAAAAAAAAAAGAGTTATTTTCTCTAGATTTTCATTTAGAGATGTAGATCTCCGAAACTGGAGAACGGATTTTGTTGTTTGGGGTCTTGTTAAATTCACATTTGCTAGGAGAATTGCAGTGAAAATTTTCAAAACTTTATCTAAAATCGTTAATTCATTACAAAGATGTAAAGATGAAAAACATAAAAAAACGCCCAATAAAATTTGTTTTAATTTATTTTAATGTTCTGTAGTGAATTAACTATTAAAGATAAAGTTCTGCAAATCTTCACTGCACTTCTCCTAACCAATGTGAATCTAACAAGACCAAAATCAATGAAATCCGCTGTCCGGTTTCGGAGATCTATCTCACTAAATGAAAATGAAAATGATTTTTTGTGGGGCTGTTTTTAGGACATTTTTCTGGATTCATATTGTTTGACTGCTTGTGTGTGATTAAATGAGTTAAAAAATTTCTAAAAATTCAAAATCAAGAAAGTTTACATGCCGATCCCTGACTTGGCAATTTTTGTTTTGTAGACCGTAGTGCACACACGTTCAAATCGTAGTGCACACTTGTATATTCGTAGTGCACATTGTGTGTCGTGGTGCACATAAAAATAGGGCCTGCTATAGCCTTCTTTAATAATTATTAATATTATATGCAATACATTTTTGAAAAATATTTTCCAATGATGAAATTATCCTATCATAGCCTAAAATATACCTATAAATCTGTTAAAAATTACTTTTATCCTCGCTCCTTGGTACATTAAGGCTTATGAAACTACTTGTTCTTATTAATATTCGTTTACAAAAACACGGTTGTTCTCGATTAAAAAAAAAATAAGTTTGTATTGCCACTGTACACGTCTTGTTATTATGCATATACCTACTTACAAATCTCAAGGTTGAAATAAATATTTTTAGTTGAACGATACAATATATTAGTTGTTATAATATTATAATATAATTTTGTTTTTCATCTTCTGATATTCCTCTTATTTCAAGGTAACTTTTTAAACTGTGAATCATCATCTACTGCTGAGTACCACTGCATAAATAATAATAATATTTTACTCCGTGATATATTATATTATATTATTACCGTTTCCGCGCCACGCCGCCACCCATAAACCTATTAACTTCTATTATATATGTTAGGTTAGAGAGCCTATAGCTCTATGTATAGGCTCTCTGTGGTATAATATATTGACCAATAATAGAGAGTCTTTATTATCTAGGCTCTCTAGCCAATAATATAAGTAGATGTTTTTCAACGAATAAAAATATTATCCAGGACACGTCGTATTCGATTACTTTTTTAATTATTCGAATATTTGTATTCATTGCAGCGCATTACGACTTACAACTAGACTGCAGCTCACCCGTTTCCTGTGTAACTCTTTATTGTGGCTGTTCGGGAACGGCGGCACTTTGTTGGACATTATGAACGGCACGACGCCGATCGCCCACACGTCCACCGGGTTGTAACGTCGCTTGCCGTACAGGAGCTCGTATGTAGGTCTTCGTGCCTCACACCGTGTCCGCCCCAGGGGTTCGTCCTCGGTCCACGAACCTGGCGAACCCGAAGTCGGCTATCCGCAAGTTGTACCTATTGGTCAACAGTATATTCTAGCACTTCAGGTCCCTGTGCACCACCCCCCACGCCGTGTGCATGTGCGAGAACGCCCACAGGATCTGCAACAACCACGAGCGGATTTGTGCCTCCGTCGGCTCCATCTTCTGGAGGTACGTGAACATGTTGCCGTTCTCCGCGTACTCCATATTTCCTATAGTGATTTCATAAGTACATTAATTCCAACTTGTGTAGTGGATATTTCACACTAAATAACATACATTATTATTTTTGTTAATTTTTATAAATGTATAAGTGTCTACTGTATTAAGTACCCTTGAAGGGAAAAAGATAGTGGACATTTCTCAGTTATCCGACCAAATAGAGAATACCATTCACGATTCAGCATTTGGCTGTACTTTTATTGATATGCAATTTCAGTCAGAATGTAAAAGAGGATTTAAATCAATATTTATATGTATTTAAATGTAAATTTGGTGGTAAAAGTATTTCAATTATTACGAAAAATAATTATTAGAAAATAACTATACTTACCAATTAATAAAGCGGTAATTAGTGGAAGTTTGTTTATCGGTATTTAATGAACGGCAATAAAATATAATATGTATGAGTCTGTTAATTTGTATATAGAATTTATGACTAATGTACCTACAACTATTATATATGATTGAAATATTTAAAAATACGAAGGTAGCTACCAAATACTATGTTGATTGATTTAGATATTAAAATACTTTACAATTCTGAATATAACAAAAGCTTAAAAATTTAAAATAATATAGGATTTGGATACGCACAATATAATATAATGCATAAGTCAGAATAGCCCCAGAGATACCATACTTCTGGTTTAAACCATTATATAGTATTGTAGTGGTATTAGTATAAAAACATTTGATAACAAAAATATTTTTATTTTTATTTCACCATTAATACAAATAATATTACAATATTACAATAATAATAATAATATAACAGGCAACACTGATTGGGTGTTATCACTTCTAGTTGGTAACTAAGTTATAGCAAACAGTTACCATTTTGTTTTACTTGGTGCTCTTTTGGCATGTGGTTTGGAGTCAAATGTCGGATGTCCATTATGTATTAAATATGGTCATAACCCGTAAACACCTCCCTTGTATAAGCCACTGGATTTCACTAGTGTTACAAATATTGTAAACCGTAGTATTAAAAACGTGTTCAAAAACAGAAAAACTAGTATAATATTTTGTAGTAAGTACCTATTTATATCTTACGATTACGGTTTAAACTATGGCATTTTAGGTAATATTTCTGATGATAGCTGATCAAAAATCCAGTAAGTGATTGAGCTTACAAAATAGCTTATATTTCATGAACAAAAAATAATGTATATGGGTAGGTATATCAACTCTATTAATTATTATTGTATTACTATCTTTATCATTATTTTGTTGATTTCAATATAAAACTAACACTGACGAGCATTTTTACAAATAGCTAATGTAATATGTTTATGTACCTAATAATTAATCAATTAATGCCAACAATACATTATTATACAGGATGTATCTTATGTCATTGTACGCGGGGTTTTTTGACGATTACGGAACGGTGATATGGAATTTAGTTAAAACGAAAAAAGACGTGTTTCTTTATTTTTAACAAGCATTTTTAGATTCTGAGTGAAACGATGAATGTATTGATTTTACAATGATGTGTGTTTTTTTTTTTTATTTTATTTTTTATTTTTTTTTTATTTTTTTATTTTTTTTTTTATTTTTGTGTCTGTCATCACGTTTTAGGACAGTAAAAGTGCTTGGATTTTCTTCATCAGTAGCTTTTCTGATAGGAAAGTGAATCTAGTTGGTACTTTGGGGGGTCAAAAGTATAAATTTCCCAGTAGTTTTCACAAGCGCCGGGAAAAACAACATAAAAATTAAGGAAAAACGGGAATTTTTACGCAAAATTGGTTTTCCAAAAAATCGATTTTGGTTATTGGTGTAACTCTAAAACAAATGAACGTATATACATGAAATTTTCACTGGTTGTTTTTAATTGCATTTTCTATACACGATAACATTTTCAAAATATTTTGATTTATTTTGAACTGTTTAGGGACATTTTCATTTTCCATTTTTTTTTAGTTTTTTTTCTAAAAATATCAATAAAATTTTATTTGTTGGTTGCGAAAGCTTGAAAATTTAATAGAAGGCTCCTAATATGTTGTTTCAAAGGCAGATGAAAAATATTAAAAATCCTTAGTCACAGTTTTTTGTTATAAGCATTTAAAGTTCAAAAATTTACAAAATATGGAAAAATCACGAAAATTAGCAAATTATTTTGAGTTAAGAATTCGTAAAAATTTTTCTTTTTAAATCTAAGATTTGAAAATGAAACACAAGATTCCTTATAAGATTATCTACCTTTATCAATAAAAAAATCTCTACCGGACAGTCAAGTTTAATTTTTATGAGCGTTTGAAATTCAAATTTTTACAACATTGGATATTCACTCGATTACTCATGTAGCGATTTCTTTATTTTGTTGCAATTCAAAAACGAACACCTGTAGATACATGAAAATTTCACTGAATGTTTAAAATAGCATTTTCTATACACCATACAATTTTGAAAATATTTTGACTCTTTTTGAGCTGTTTATGGACATTTACAGCTTTCAATTTTTTAGTTTTTTTTTCTATAAATATCAATAAAGTTTTATCTGTTAGGCCAAAAAGTGTAAAAATTTAATACAAGGCTCCTGATATATTGTTACAATATCAGTTGAAAAATATTAAAAATACATAGGCACGATTTTTTTTTATAAGCATTTAAAGTTGGAATTTTGACAAAATTTATCAAAATCTCGAAAATTATCAATCGTTGGAATTAAAAAATTATAAAATGTTCAGTTTTTATAACTAAGAGTTGAAAATTTAAAACAAAGATTCTCTTAAATAATTCATACTGTAACCAAAAAATCTAAAAAATATATAAACACACTTATTTTTTACAGACATTTTAATTTCAAATTTAGACAAAATTTCATATTTAAACCAAGAATTACGATTTTAGTTATTTTGTTGTGATTGAATAATATTATTTGTGGGTACTTGAAACTTCTAAAGTGTACTATTACAGTACAGTACTAGACTCTGCTAGAGACGGTCGTGTTTATCGCGCATCCGTCCGTTAACGTATAGATTACGACTCGTGGTTTTAAGATAACATTATGTAATGGTTTTATGTGTATTATGTTCATTAACTATCAATAGAAATCAACTCTCTATCACCTGTTGTCTCTGTAATTTACTTTTTCATAAAAACTGTGTCTTTAATACTTCGGATTTAAATTCGTGGAAGTGTCTATACTGTTCACAAAATATGTCTCCAACAGTTACAAAAAAACCTGTTAGTATAAGTCTTGAAGAACTTATTAAATCAGTAAAGTCTCTGGAAAGTAAGTTTACCCAGCAAGAATCTAAAATTACAAAAAAACTTGATGAGACCCTACAATTATTGAATAATGTTATTTCGGAAAATAACACGTTAAAGGAAAAAATCTCTGTCCTCGAAAAAAAAATTACGTATTTTGAAAAAACAGACTTTTGTAGCGAAGTATCTGATAGAGATCGCAGGAAGTGTAATATTATTATTTTCAATGCCCCGGAATGCACATCTGACAGTGCCCCTGACGAATTAATTCTAGTTAACTCAATTTTTTCTTCCCTAAACTTACCCATAAAAGCTCTAAATGCTATACGACTTGGTAATAATTATAACAAACGTCGTCCGCTTAGGGTGAATCTACCTGATGTTAACTGTGTTAATCAGATCCTTAAAGCAAAGTCTAAACTCCGTAATATTGAAACGCTGAAACACCTAAATATTGATATTGATAAAACCAAGCTTCAACAAGAACAGTTCAAGGCTGTCTGGAACACGCTGTCAGAAAGAAAAAGTCGCGGTGAAACAAACATTCGAATCGGTTACATTCGAGGCCAACCAACAATAATTTCAAAAAACTGAACAATACACGCCCTTCCAATGTCAATGAAGATTCAACTCCGTTTGTATTTAACTATAATTGTAATTTTAATTTTAACCTTAAAAATAAGTTAGCTGATAAGTTTATTAATTTCGTTGGTTACTACCAAAATGTACGCGGTTTACGCACAAAATTAGATATTTTGCGTTGTAATTATTCACTGTTCGATTTTGACTATTGTATATTAACTGAAACATGGCTCACTGCAGATTTCTGTGACTCAGAGCTAGGTCTTACCGATTATCAACTGTTTCGCTTTGATAGGAATGAAATTACTAGTCCCCACCGTAGAGGTGGTGGTGTTCTTATCGCAATTAATAATTTATATGCCGCTAAAATGTTATCTGTGCCGATAAATAACGTAGAACAACTTTTCATATTAGTATCGGTTGGTAATAAAAAACTAATTATAGGTGGTGTTTATATCCCCCCATCCAGTGGCCCTGATATGTACGACTCTCACATTCAATCATTAGAATTGCTTCGTACGAAATACGCGGACTGCGAGTTTATTATTGCTGGTGACTTCAATTTATCTTCTGCACGTTACGATCTCAATTCAAATTCCGGTGTCAACTTTTTTCCTACCACTGCTCAATCTGATTCTATTCTTTTCGGTTATTCGTATTTTAACTTCCGCCAATTCAATCCAATACTTAATTATAATAACTCACTATTAGATCTTGTTTTTTCATCCCTTCCTATGTTGTCAGTCTCGTTATCTTTAGATCCGATTGTCCCTATCGATAACCATCACCCACCGTTAAGAATCTATTCTAAAGTACAACGCATTTTTAATACTCTTCCACACAAAATTGAATTTTTCAATTTTAAAAAAGTGAATTTTATTGACATTATTTACGAATTAAATAAAATTAACTGGTCATTAACATTTTTAAATTTAGATATTAATACAGCTGTTAATAAATTTAATTCAATATGTCACGAGGTTTTATTAAAACATGTTCCTATTGTTACTTATAATTATAATTCATTCCCAATATGGTTTAATAAAGAATTGAGACTGTTAATAAAAGAAAAAAAAAGAGCCCATTTTAAATATAAACAATCTAATCACGTTTCAGATTACTTCACCTTTTCAAATCTTCGCCTACAATGCAAACAACTATCTCGTTCCTGTTATATAAATTTCATATCC